AACCTGTGCTCCGTCTAGACTAGGCATCCTTATCCTCATTAATTTTTGTTAGATTTTGTCTGTTAGCTTTATTTATGGATTAGCCACAGTGCCTTATGAGTTATACTTGTGGTTTCTGATTACTGTGGAGACTAATTTGGTGCTCTGCAAGGGAGGCAGTGTAATTTCTGTTTGAGCTTTATTTTCTGGGATATATGAAAGGTCGCTTTGCTGATCCTAAGCACTTATGTACTGTGAGCTTATCTTCCCAGCATCACGAGAGTGCGAAGGGAGTAATAGGTTGGACCTTTTTCATATCTCCTGGGGTTTCAAGGCTTATAGGGTTGTGTTTCCTAGCTTTTCTCTCTCCAGGGACAAAACTGAAATTCCCACTAATATTAATTGGGTGGTTTTACCGACATGGCAATGTATGTGCCTGTGCATATGGAGAACCTCGGAGGTGGTCATTGCTTCCAGCACTTGTTGCCTGGGGTCGGTGCGCATCGAAGGTGTGGGCCAGCCAGAGGGGAGAGGAGCCTGGCCTGTTGGATACAGCCTTCAGCTGAAGCTCAGGGATGGTTACAGGGATGCAGTTGCGAATCATTTGATGTTAAGGCTTGCAGAAAATAATCTGTCAAGTAGTCCCAGCTGTTTGATGTTATTGGCTTGTTCTGCCTGCTTTTTTCCCCCCCTTCACTGGTACTCACTGTCTCTAGTACTGATATAGCACATAAAGTTCAGCACGTTGTTGGAAGAGGCCAGTTTTCATTGTGAGAGGACCAGTGTTTCCTCCTCCATCCACCCACGTTCGAAGAGCTAGTTTCTATCAGCATGGCTCTTGTGGGCTCCCATCTGCAAGGTATGAAGCCAGTTTCTAATCCGATTGCTGCCGGTTGAGGGGATCAGCTCACACCATTGCTGTCCTAAGAGGCTCTTGGTGCCATCGTTCATTGCAGCCATCTCTCTCTGGCCCGTCCTGAAGTGCGCAAGCGAAAGGCTGCACAGACGTTAATGCTCTGTGCCTGCAACATTTTGTGGTTGCTACTAAAAATAAAAAGAGTGAAATTAATTTGCTATTAATGGATGTGCTACTAACAGAAACACATCCCACTTGTACCTAACACCAGCAGGTTGTTCATGGCATATTTGCTGTGTCTAAAAAAACTCTCTTTCTTTTTTTTCTAGCAACCAATTTCATTTAAAGACAATTTTCACACATCTGTGGCTGTTAATCAGTTAAGGAGTTATCAGTTTTAATATTAGGAAGAAAGAAGAAGATCTCATCAACAGCTTAAAACTTTATTTCATTTCTTTTCAGCTGGCTTGCAGAAGATTATGGGGAGTCTTAGGCTCATCTTATTTCTCCTCTTTTTCCCACCCCCTTGAAAAGAGAGATAGTACTATTACGTGTGTGACAGTACTGTGCTAGTTTTACGTATCCTTTCAAAAGCTGTTGAATTAGAAATACTGAGATAAAAATATAAGAAGACTAAAATAAGATTTAATTAGAAATTAAACCCCAGACACCCATGTAATTTTAAATAAAGTCATGTATACTTCATGAAGAGATTGACTGTCAGAAGAGGAACGGTAAGATAAAGACCAAAACCAAAGGTACGTGCAAGGTAAGGTGCAGGCTGTCTGTGGCCCTGTTCTGCTCTGAATCCAATTTCCAAAATATCTGAGACATTGCCACCAGCGGCAGAAAAATGACACAGTACCAGCCCCTGCTTTTGGCTGTTGAGCTCAGCCAAGACTGTGCCCATCTGGCTACCGTGATACCTGCTCTGCAATATGGAGGCATAAGATGTTCCTGGGTCAGCTTTCATCTAACAGCGCCTGTTTCATCACAGCGTCCCTATTAGAGGATTGCTGCTTGAACCATCTCACTGGCTGTCCTCTCCTTTCTGTTGTGTACAAGGCAAACATAGGAAAGGGTAGAGAGAAAAGTGTTATAATAGGTACTAGTTATGCCTGAAACACCCATGCAACTACGGCTGCTTCTGATCCTGAGCATGGTAGTGCAAGTGTGGTTTCCATCAGGAGAGGGCCCCAAGCTGCTAGATAGACACGAGAGGCTGGAAGGCTGTGCTGGGGGAACCCTGCAAGTCCCCCTCTGTCCTCCCCAAAGCATCTGCTGCAGGGGTGTGGACTTGGCACACTACCACTTGCTGTGGTAATTCTTGCATTTATTTTTATTTTCTGTCCTCCCCTTTTTTTGCATATCCCCCCTCCTGTCCCTGAATTCTTCCTTTCTAACTGAGACAAGAGTATTTCACTTAGATACGACAGCACGCTGCTCTGCTGGCTATTTGTTATAAGGACTCATGTTGAAATCTTCAGTGTAATTTAATGCTCTTGAATGTTCCTCCTTATACCTTTTGAATAGAGAAGGGACTTGCCTGATCCATGGGAGCCTGCAGATTATACAAAAATTGGTCCAGTTCAGTTTCATTTCACATCCCTTAGTAAAACATGGGTTATTGGCATTGTACATCCGTTGGCTCCATACTTCTTCATGAAAACCAAACATTCCCTTTGAGCTGAGCTACGTATCATACCGTCATTAACAAGCTGCACCTCGTTGAAAATCTGTCAAGGAAAACTGACTTATTTTGCATTTGCTGCATTGCACGAAATAGAAGCATGGTAAACTCTTGTGCCGTAATGATTTTCTGTCTGTCTTGATGGGACATAATGAGATAAATTCAAGTCCTTTTTTGAAGGCTAATTACATCGAGTACACACTAGACGTGGGCTGCCCTCGTTATATGTTGTGCATTTTTGTGCTTTCATTTCCCCATCTCTATTGTCTGCGTATGCAAGTGAGTTTGATTTGGCTTTGAAATACAAATTGTAGGCTAGAGTGGAGCCGTTTGGTGGTCTCCTCTCCCAGAAGACTCTCCAGAGCTTGTATAACGAGTCCTTGCTGTAGGTATGGCAGCATTTGAAGGTGGCTGTGAAGTAAATAAAAGAACTTAACTCTGTGCCAGAAACTGAGGAATGTGCCATAAAGCATGAGGGCAGCTTGTGGCAAGTCCGCTAAAAGCCATCAAGAATAAACTCAGCCCTAGGTCTGCTCACCGGTCCTCGTGTATGGACACAAAGCAGATGAAGTGCATCCTGCGGAGCTCATAGCCTAGGTGTGGAGCACTAGCTGGATGATGAGCAATTTTGGAAACTGGGTTTTTAAAACCTGTAAATCCCTCCAGTCCTACTAGTTGTTCTCTGCCTGTCTTGTGGGAAGAAAGGGAGCTGGGGGAAGGTGTGGGAGAATGCCTGGTTTGGGGGGGGCAGCAGGGATGCTGGAGATCAGCATCATCCCCTAGAGTAGGATGGAGAGGCTGCAGATGCAGCCTAGAGCATCATCCCCTAGAGGAGGATGGAGACCTGGCAGCCTGTGGTGGGCTTGGGAACTGCTTCAGGGTTGGGCGACACTTGCTGTGAGAACCTTGTGGTCCAGGCGAGACTGGAGGTGGAGCCTGGGGGAAGTCTATTGGATGCTCTTGGATCACACCCCTTTTAATGCATGAGTGATCTTCATCCGCAAAGACTTACTGGTAGGCTCTAGGAGTTAGGAGTTGATGTGCAAATGTCTCACCTTTGGTGAAGAAGCTAGTGACGTAAAAGGGAAGATGTCGAGAGAGTTTGTCTGGTACTGCAGGAAGCAGAGCCAACTTTAGAGGCACTTGTCCTAGTTGGTCCATCAGAGGAAAAGCCATCACCTGTACTTTATCTATGGTGAAGATGAATTCTGTCATCACTGGCTTAATTTTAGCACATGACCTTTGTGCTGTGATTGTCTGGGACGTTCCTGGTGGGATAATATTAATGCTTTTGCTGTGAGCTCATTTTCTTTCCAAGCTAATTACAACTGAGCAAGTTTGAATGCAGATGGAAAGGCTCTGGGATTTCCAGGTAACTTCTGTAAGTCTGATAGCAAACCTGTGCATCGTTGATACCATACTGGGCAGAATTATTTTAGAGCATCTCTGAAGGAGAAAAAGTAACAGCGCTTTGGAGCTGCTTTAACATGTCTCTGTGTCTCTGCTTTTTGAGATAAACAGAAAATCAAGTTTTCCTCCTTTTGTTAACAGTGGGCTTGTAATTCTACATATAACAGTATGAATACAGGGCCAGCTGTTTTTTTCCTAAAGCCGGGGTGGATGCGTGCAAACCTGTGGCTGTCACTGCTCCTGGCTGATTGTGTGCACGCAGGTGAAGTGCAGGGTGCTTTGCTTAGGTGAAAGAGCACTTGTTTCGGGAGGCTGGAAACGCGATATTACTGTGTTCGCTTCAAATTATTTTAAAAAAAAGAAATAAATATTCCCAAGCTACTCTTAGCCATATATTATATTTGTGAGAACAAAAATAGCCCTCGTATCAAGTCTTTGTGCCTCATCATGCATATGTATTGGAGCTGGAAGGAATATCTTGTATGGCGAGCATGCCTGGTTCAGGCTATACCCAGAGCAGTCTGTCTTACATGGAGCACTTTAAAGTTCATCACAGGCTTGCAGGGGAAAAGACCCTAGGGAAGTAGCCTTATCACAGTGTCTTAAAGCTGTCGATCTTGAGATCCCCTCCACCACTGTGTTGCTATTTGTTTGCCAAGACATTGATTTCTGGGTGTAGAACATCTTAAATGAAAACCATGAGATGTATTTTACCTGTTTTTCTAAGACTGAATGAAAAACAATAACAACCCAAACACAATATTGTTTTCTAAAGCAGAACCCGAAAGATGTTACCTCTAACGCATTCAACAAGGAAAATAAATATCCAGCGAAGGCAGATGCTAGGGGAAAAAAAAATAATCAACAGTTTCTCATTCTCTTTTCGTGCAGATATTTAAGTATGCACTGTCTGTTAGTCGCATAGACTGTTTTAAAATACGCAAACCAAATAGCTCATGAGTGTTTGTTTTCTAGCTGAAGATATGTTTTTTTTTTTTAAAAAGGAAATGTGAAGAGTCTAATTTTATGATGGGAGAGCTTAGCCTGTGGTTCTTCTTTTCACAGTATGCAGACCTGGGTTCTTCAAAGCTTCACCCCACAGTCCATCCTGCAGCAAATGTCCCCCTCACAGCTACACGCTTGATGAAGCATCCACATCTTGCCTGTGTGAAGAACACTATTTTAGGAAGGAATCAGACCCACCTACAATGGCCTGTACAAGTAAGCATGTGCTTATAGGGTTGTTTTTAATCCTTTTGAGCTGTTCCTGTACTGTGACTAGACATTATGATCCTAATTAATGTGCTTTTACAGGCTCTGAGCTGGAGTCTGAACTAGTCTTGACACACTTGTACTGTCACTGGCTTTGTCTGCCATACCTCCGGTTACACGAGAACAGACTTTTCGAAGCCTTTTTCTTCAAAAGCTGGCATTAAACCCAGGAAGCGTTTTTGTAATGAATGGATGCTCCATCTCTCGTGGTCCGCTCATGGGCGGACTCAGCCAGCAGCATGGCGTTCAGACATCTGCATCGGTGCGTGCATGGGTACCGGTGTGGGGCTCGCACACGGAGGAAATGATGGGTAGCGCTTGTCAGCGATAGGCACGGATAGAGTCTATGTGGTCCTGCTTGGTATCATTTCTTAGCTCATTTTTGGTAAACAAGCAGGGAGAGAACCCTACCTTTCCAAGCTGCCTGGAGATGATTGTTCGTCAGGGTAGCATCAAAACTCTGCGATGGAAACTGCTTCTCCAAACCTGCAGCAAAAATGTAGAGCTTATCCCCTTGGTGTCTGGGGAGGGTAGTATAACAAGCAAATTGGGGTACTGGGAGTCCCAGGTGGAGTCGGTGGAATCAGAATCACTAATATTGCCCTTTTCCTGCCATCTGTGAGCTATCCTGTCAGCTGTACCTTGAAAGTTTCTTGTTCAGTTTATGTTTCAGAGACGTAGGGCCACAATTTGCATGCCCCCAGCTAGTCCCACCGAGTGTAGCACGGACCACAGGTTTTTGCTGATCTGGGTCTGTCATGCTCCGAATGTGATTTTTGTGGTACAAAAGTGGTTAAAAAGGACTGGAGAGGAGCTGAACTACTGGGGCAGGAGCAGGTAGAGCTTCCAAGGAACTTAAGAGGTGGAGGAAAAAGTAGGTTTATGAGTCCATGCACGCTCAGAGCCACTGGGCAACGGTGCAGAGGTGGCTTCCATACTGTTTCCTTGCATCATGCAAGCATGGTAGTGGCTTTTTGTGCCTTCATCCCAGTGAATACAGATGTCCTTCCTAGCTTCCCAAGTTTGTACTTCAAAAAGAGAAAGAAGTCTGTTCCTGTTGGAGAGACACGCTCGCAAAGGAAATTGCCCTTGGCAGATCTCTGCTTGCTTGCAGGAGGCACTCGGAGCAGAATTGGAGCCCTTGAACTCTGTGTTTGCCTTTCACTAGCTGAAGGAGCATGAAGCACGTAGCTGTTGGAAGGTGTGCTGCAGGGAAGGAGAAGACAGCCTTAGGCAGTGTGGCAATAGCTGGTGCTGTAGGATCAAAGTGGTCTGGAGGGGTGAGTCATGCAAGCACTTCTCAGTTTATTAAATAGATACTGTCTTTTGGAGCAGTAGCTAGGGTGGGTTACAGCATGAAAAACTTTGATACCAGCGCTTCTTGATGTCCATTTTGCCCCCTGGCCTGACTTAAAAAACATAGCTAAATGAGAGACGATGAGGTCCAGCGTGGTATTGGGAAATGGGAAGGGAGAGGAGTACTCTGAGCTCTGGAAACGCACATAAAATTGGCCTTTCTGTGCAGGCAGAACCAAAGCCAGGGACTGATACAGAGTTATGCGAGACTGCCAGCGTCCACAGTGCCTCCTGCCCATCATCGGTGGTGTCACTCTCTGTCCCTTCTCAGGATGGAGAGGTACGCGTCCAGTCTGTCCTGCTGGTGCATTAGCACAGGGAAGGAGCTGCCATCCCCGAGGAAGAGGTTTATGCATGCCTGTGACCTGAGCGTAGGGCAGGATTTTCAGAGAGGCACAAGCAAGCTTGGTGACCAGCTCATGTTAAAATGAAATTAAATTTGAGTACCTGTCTCCCCCAGGTTTCTGGTGCAATTTGAATCATGTAGGCAAAGGCTGTAATTTCTGATTCTGCAAATACCATGGGATGTTCTTTTTATGTTTGTTCGGGTTTTTTATGCTTATTTGTTTTTTTGGGTTTTTTTTAAAGTTTGTTTGGGGGTTTTAATGTTCGGGTGGTTTTGTTTCGGGTACTTTTTGTTTTGAAAGTTTACTATAAGTGCAGGCATGGTGCCTTTCTGGGGCAGATGAGAGGTTAATGCTGACCAAGGCACTGCTCAGCTTCTGTCGCCCACTGCAAACCCCGGTGCAGCAGTTGAGGACGTTGCAGCATCTCTGCTGGCATTCATGCTTACTACCCCAAAAGCAGAGTCGATCAGCTAAGCCTTCTCCTTGTGCTTCAGCCACCCTCGCTTGCCCTACGCATCCTTTCTTGGGATTTTGTCCTAATCCAGCTATATTTGTGCTGAAGGTGATGAGGAGGGGCCACGTGCTACCCCAGGTCAGCTGCAGGGGTAGTAATTTTTGGCAGGGACAGTAAAGAGCAGGTAGCGACACTAACGTTTTAAACCAGTCCAATTAGATCTGGAAGGGAACATCTCATTGTGAACTGAAACAAAAGCGAGACAGGCTTGAGTCATGACTGGTAGGAAAATATTGCAAGTTTTTTGTATGTTTTTATTATTTATTATCGCAGAAGTTAATAATATTCATAGGATTCCCTCAACTTGAAATCTAGTTAATTTTAGAGAATACATCAATGTCTGTTTTCAGCTCTACACCTGCAAAGTCCCCTTGCCAGTTGGTATAGCTATAAAATCACATTTTCCTAATTTAAAGTGAATGCTTTTCAGTCCCAAGCTGCATGAGCCTCCCCACCACCATCAGCATCACTAAAGAAAACTAACTGCTACACCACTGTCAACTGCTCAGATAAGTACGCAGGGGTAGAAATACATTTTTATTTAATTTTTCCAGTTCCTTAGGCATGTTTTATAAGTAACGATCGGTAATTTTGAAATTAATAGTTCTGTGATGCAGTCTGAAATAATTATTGCCCTCAGACAAAAAAAATGTTCGGTCCTTGTGGGCATTTGAGAATTCTCTTAATATTATTATGTATGTTCTAGGAAGTAATTGTACTTTGTTTCTTCTTAACTAAGTAATCCTAGCTTCAGTTCCTTGCACAACATCTCTTTAAAATGAAAACATAAAGTTACACCCTTTTTTTCCCCCCTCCGATCTCTGGCAGGTAACCCTATTGCTGTTCAGAGCATATTGGGGAAATATTTTTGATAGCATGACACATGGGACAAACTGAAGATTTTATAGTATTTAGTGTAATATTCTACTTGCAAAAAGTTTACAATTAACTTTGAGTGTATACATATATATATTTGTATCTCGAGGGTAATTTCTCTCTCAGGTTATATTTTTAAAATATGTGCATGAGCAAACACCAGGTTTGCTGTCCATCAAGAAAAATACCAATATCTTTGTCTTCGGAAAGTATTTGCCTCTGGTCAGTAAATTGCAGTGCAGAAGGGGTGAATCTTACCTTAGAGTATAAAGTAGCAAATTAAAAAAACAAAAACAAAACAAAAAAACCACAGTAAGCTAATATCTTTGTCTTTGACAAAAGGAGGTTCGAAATTAAAACAGACCTTCTTAGCAGACCTAGGGCCCCCCTCTTCTGAAGGCAAAACACCGTTTTGTTCTCCCAGCTGTGATTTACCAAAGTTTACCCAAGTGCAGTTTCAGGATTCTTCAACTAGATCTTGTTAGATATCTGTAGACTACTAAAGACCTTTCTCTGAGCCCCTCTGAGAATGCTAATTTTATAGGTTATGAAGTCCCCCTAGCTTCAAAGCACTTCCACTGAAGCTGATGTTTTTAAGCATTCAAGAAGAGCAGCTGACTCTTCTGTACAAAGCAAGTAAAAACCTCTGGTGACTTTACAAAAGTAATAATTTATCCCCCGTTAAAGACACATTGTCCAGTAAATGTTTCTTGTGTCCGAGTTCTTTATTTTTTCCTAGCGTACTAGTAGCAGTAAAAGGGCATTCATCCAGTGGAAGAAAAAATAGGGCAATTTAACCAGTAAAAAACATACAAAAAAACGCTGAATGCAATATATATAACTCCACACAGCTCCAGCGATGAATTTCATAGTTTCCATTATATCAGTCAGAGTATGACAGTGCAGAAAATACTCCTGACTTGGGCTGTACCTTGGTGTCGTTAGCTAAATAGTGCTGGGTCCCCATGGCGCAAATTGCGAGTGGCTTGCTCCCCGTTCATGATCTGAAGTGATCACGGAACAAAACAAAGCTGACCTGCTGTTTCTTAAACTAACATAGCTTTTGTCTTCAACTTCTTTTCCCCTGAAGAAAAAAAATATATCAAGATTATTTATTTCCTCTGGCAGCGAGTTTCTCATTTAATCAGAACAGCTTGAGTTGAAATCATGCCTGTTTTATCAGTGTTACCAATTTTATAGACTTAAAAAGGGGAATAGGAAAGGGAAATAGAAAATGCTTCTGGTTTATAAGGTAATTATATTTTTGCAACACTGCCTGTTTTAAATAACGAATCAAGTTTAATTATCACAACAAAACGAGAAGATGACAGCCTAAGACAGGCTGTTAAATTCGTATGGATTTCTAGCTGGTGAAGCTACTTGTCGGGCTCTTTTCAAGGAACTGCTCATGGATTTTGACAGCTTCATTCAAAACAAAGGGGAGTGTGTTGCCTTCCCTCCTCTACCTCCCGTGGAAAAATCCCAGTCTTTGCTGTATAGCTTCTGGTGGTGCCGTGACTAAAATCCATCCCGGCTTGCTTTGATAAATTTCCCCTTTCTCCCTCGTTCATTAACATTCCCTGAGTACATAACATGTGGATCTCTTGCATGAGATTGCTGCTTGTCCTTTCACATTGCCTTCAGGGTGTATGTGCAGCTTGCCCTTCATCTCCAACACAAGCCTGTTAAAAAGCTTGCAGCACCTTCTGCAAGTAAGTAGTCTTGAAGGTGTCTCCAGGTGGGTTTTGCTTGCCCAGCCGTGGCCTTTCCCAGCAGGACAAAGGAAAATGGCTCGCCTTTTGCAGGAGCTCTGGTACCTCTGCAGCAGCTCTTCCTCCTTGGATAGCCTTACCAGCGCTGCACTGGCATCCTGAGCAGGGAGGCTTGGCGAGATAAGCAAGTGTGGTGTGGCTAACCAACCGTGCTGGAGCTTGGCAGGGACCAAGAAGGCTGCCTTTGAGTAGTCAGATACGGCCGTGTTTCCAGTGGCCTGTGTAGATCACCATCTGCTTTGGGCTACATTGAGCGTCTCACTTAGGTGTGATTTGGATGCCCAAGCTTAGGTTTCACTGTTGCCAAATAGCTGATAGGGAAAGGCGGGTGCATGCAGAGGAAAGATTCAGCGTCTGAGTTGAGTACCTAAGCAGTGTGAATACCCCAGTGCGTGCCTTTTTTTAGGACCTAGGGCTAGTAATATAGGGGCAGTGGGGTGAGGAGGGGAAATCTTGCCCTGGTGAAGCCAACAGTGACTTGGGCAGAGCAAAGATTTGCAGCTCCCTTTGCAGGAAGAACGAGGAGACCACCAGAGACAATGCCCCGGGATGGAGTGCTCCTCCTGTTGGGTTTGAGCCAGCCCCATATCTTGTCCTCCCGTGCAGGTGGCTGCATCCCAACACAGACCCCTTGAGTTGAGGTGGAAATGCTCAAAACAAATCCCTGTTTTCCCTGTTCTTCTGGTGCTGCTGCAAATGGTCCCCGTGTACTTTTTGGCACATGAGCAACGGAGCATCTCTTTTCAGCCTAGAGACTAGTAGAGCAGGATGACTGATAATACTGTTTTTACCATGTGTTTTTCTCACTTTACAAACCAGGACCCCCCTCTGCTCCTCGGAGTGCCATCTCAAATGTTAACGAGACTAGTGTCTTTCTGGAATGGATTCCCCCTGCTGATACTGGTGGAAGGAAAGATGTGTCTTATTATATTGCATGCAAGAAGTGCAACTCACACTCAGGTCTGTGTGAGGCGTGTGGCGGTCATGTCAGGTACCTCCCCCAGCAAACCGGCCTGAAAAACACCTCTGTCATGATGGTGGATCTGCTTGCTCATACAAACTATACCTTTGAAATTGAGGCAGTGAATGGAGTGTCCGACCAGAACCCCGGAGCCCGGCAGTTTGTGTCTGTAAATGTAACCACAAACCAGGCAGGTAAGTGGATCTTCAACCTGGGGAAATGTCTGGGGTGGGAGCCCGAGCCAGTCAGACCTGGTGCAGACCTCCCTTTGAAATGGGTGGAAGTCCCCAGCATGGAGGGCTGGACTGTGGCCTCTTCAAATATGTGTTGGGGGGGTGGTTGTGTCTCATAGGTTATAATTACTGCAGTCTTCAACATGTTTCCTTCCAGCAGGACACACTTTTAGAATTTGTGGCTTTTTCTTTGTACACTCAGCTACTCGGAGTTCCTTCCACTTCTTTGCATTTTGGTGTATCCACCCACTAAACCAGAAAGAAAACAGTTGCCTCTCCTCTTGGGAAAGGGAAATTTCTAAGAGTTCATTTCAATTCCAAATGCCAATGGTTAAATCGTCCTAACTTTGAAAACAGTTAGCCTAAGAAAATTGTTTTGAGTGACTTTAGGAAATTTAATCCCTCTTCTGCACTGTGATGCTAAAATGACTGGACTCAGGCTGGTGAGATATGGTACGTTGTCACTGCTTCTCCAACAAGGTAGGGCTGAGCTGTCATTGCATACTGTGTCCTTCTTGATTTTGAACTGTATGGGCAGAGATCACGTAGACTGGTTTGTTCCTTTGTCCAGGGCTCAGATCTGTCTGCCCTTCCTTTGCCCAGCAGTTGAAAAGAGCTGTCGCCTTGGACGCAGGCAGGGAGTTGCTGTTGTCCCCTGTCATTTGGAGGTGTGATGGGAGGCAAAAACACGATTGCATCTTCTTCCATGCACATCAACTCACCAGGCACACCAAACAGCTTCTCTAAGCCCTGGAGGCCTTTCTATCCTTCTTCTCTTGTCCCTCATGCTCTGTGGATTTGCGTACCTGACTTGCTTCCTGCCTTTCAATTCAGGGCTCCCCAGCGGCACTTGTCCACTGCAGAGCCCTTCCAGGAATGTGAACCAGTGGCATTTGGGACCATGAGGACTGTGCTGCCAGATCACCAGAGCCACCCCTTGCCTTCTCCTTACAAGGCTTAGCCAGGAAACCCGGTGCGCTATGCAGCGGAACAGCTAGATGGAGGTTGGCAGATCCTCGCTGCGGAGCAGAAAAATGCTAGCTGGAGCAGGGCTGCATTTCATTCCGGCTGCCCAGGTGTACATGCGCGCGCGCTTGGCAGCCAGCAGCAACAGAGTGCGATTGCATTGCACTTCCTCAGATACCTGTCCTGGTAATTAGACTGGATTGTGGAAGTGTTGCACAAATTGTTCAGATATATCTCAAGGAGAGGAAATAAAGGCATGCGAGGGTTGCTGCTGATGGATGTGGCAGGAAATCTGGAGGAACATCAGTGGATGGCAGTATGACACGTGTTGAAGGCACCTGTTTAATGCAGATCAGTGGGTGTCACGGTCCTAATGCTGTTTACTGTCTTCCCATTGTGAAGGCTGCTGCCAGCAACTCTGTTGTTGGGGAAAGTATATTTTCCTGTTACTGGGTTTGCATTAGTATTTCATTGCTAGTATTGGATTTTCCCTGATGTGTGGAGTTAAATCCACATAAGCCTCAGTAAATGTAGATGCATGAGAGGAGATACATTGCTGATCAGTGCAGACTGAGGAAACGGTCCTGGTTTGTGAGTTATGTCCCAGACTCCCCATAGTTGCAGCAGGATTTATCCGCGTAGCTGCCTTCCTGTGCATCAGGCCAAGAATAACCTCCCTGCAGAATTATCACCTCCAGCCTCCTGTTGAAAGGTCCGTTATAGGAAATGGTAGACGTGTGATGAACGTGGCTCATGCTAAGGACAAGTGGGTAAGTGCAGCTTCTGGTTCACTCTCGCTCTTTACTCTGGTGGAGCTGCAATCAAGGGAGATACTAATGGATCAAGCCATGAGTGTTTAATTCACTGTGTGGTGTTGGAATTGCATCCGTATGCTCTCATGTTCGATTCAACAGGAAGCTGAATCAAACCTCTGTCCAAAGCAAGGAGTGGTGACTGTATTTTGTTGTCTCTCTGGCTGGTCCCACCACTCGTTCAGGAGGAGAACCAGGCCTGTGTGCTGAAGCTGTAGCATCAAACATGCTTCCCAGCAACGTGCTCTTTCAGCACTCCCAGGGGTGATCACCAGTCTGTCCATGCCAGAAATAAAGCAGCCATAGAGGGGGACTTTGCAAATCAGACTAGCTGCCAAGCATGGAAAGTGGATACCTGTTTTCTTAAGGTACCTCCGAAAAATGTCCCTTGAGGCATGAAATGGAGGTGTGCAGGTGGAGTGGTCCATGCCCGGCCATGCCCAAAGATGCTGAACATCTCTGAAAAATCCTCTCTCAAATAAGAGCAAGCAGGGCACATGGGGCTTCAGGGAGTCTCAGCCCACTCATCTTCCCACTGAAATCACCACCAAGAGATGCAGCTCTGGGGCCTCATCCTTTCCCTTGCACAGGTTTTCTGATGGTTTGATTATATTTTCATGAAGGCTGGTGTAATGAAGTTGAGTCACTAAAGGTAGTGACACAAGGCCAACTGCAGCAGTAGGAGAAATCCTGCTACAAGAACTGCTGGCTGCAGAAAATGAAAAAATCGCATGGTGTGGGATAGGTCTGGCTGCTGGAGTCCCGCTGGCAGGTATTCACCGCAGAGAAATGCCAGGGTCTGTTCTGCTGGTTTGGCTTTCGTCCGTCCAGAAAAGAGCATGCTAATTTCAGGACTGCAGAGAATGTGCAGGCAGTGGGGTGCTGGGCGCACCACCTCTTCTGTGCATGGGAGCTTTTGGCAGCAGAAACTACCTCTGGTTTGGGCTCTTGAAGGAATTGCTTCCTGAAAAAAATGTGTTTTTCTCCAAAATAATTTGTCCCTCTTCCTCTCTTCCCAATTTAAAATAATGAGAAAAAGAATTGGCACCGGCAATCAGGCTGGTATTTTCAGACTGATATAATTTTCGTCTGAACTTCTGAAATCAGATTTGGAAATACGGCGAGGAAACAGTAATGTTTTGTGCACAAGAGGAGGCAGATCAGCTAATCTCAGCTGGTGACCCCAGCAAGCTTCTGCTCCCCCAGTCCCTGGGGACCTGACGGTACTTGGGATGGGACCAGTCTACGTGGGATGCAGTGGCCTTAGGCTCCAGATACGGGACTAGTTCTCCTGTCCCCCTCTTGCAATCCCCAAACCTTTGTTACTTCTGTGGGATTTTGCAGATGTTTTCTGCTGGAAAACATGTATCTAGAAAGGGCAAGTAAGGCCACAAGCCAGGGGAGGTAAAAAATGTGCTGGCCTCCATCGTGACTACCCTAGAGCTGCTGCAGGCAAACAGAGGACCTTACTCCCTTTGTAGGCACATGGGTTGTCCAAAGCATGGTTCTTCCCTATGGAATTGCTGCAAAATACATGCCCAAGGGATTTCCCAGCACAGATGGCAGGGAGCCATCTGTAATGCACTCTCACAGTGCATTAAAAAGTGTGCCTCGTGCGTGCGGGCTGGAGCCCAGTGAATAATTCATAAGTGGCAATGATAGGATTGAGTTAGCCATCCTTGTCTTGTTCATGGTTTTGCTCAAGTTTTCCTATTTTTGAAACTGCTACCTAATGCCCCTTTTTGGACAGTTCCCAGGGAGCAGTCTGCGTGTGCCGCTAATATTGAAGTTTGCTTTTCAAGTGACAACCGCGTGACGTTTTTTTTCTCAGCGGTTTCACCAAGCTGGATGATTAAGTAATGCTATCACTCTAGACAGAGATGTGCATGTCCCTTGAGGTCTTTCGTCTTATCTGCCCTGTATACAGAAAGCACCTACCATGATGTCTTGGTCAGAGACGTGTGTCTCATAATGGGTCCGTAGGGAGAAAGCAGTTGTGATTCATGGTTGCCTGCGTGCCCGTTGTATCATCATAGGAGCACACCGGGAAGACGCAATGTTTAAAACCTTTCTAGGCTTAAAACCTGCTAGGAGCATTCACTTTAAGCCAGCCTAAATAGCCGAGCAATTTTCTTTGCTTTTCATTTCCAGCATCTCCCATGCTGGGCATGGCTTCAGGCACAGAGCTGGCCTGGAGGTGGGGGTGTGAGAGTGGGGCGGTTCTCCTGCTGACATCCCAAATGCCATGGGCTCCTTTACACTTAAAGACCTTCTCTGTGTGTGTTTTCAGATAAGCCCCCTGCCTGTTTTCTCTTTGAAAAGTCAGAAGCCAGCGTTCAATCCCCTTCTGTGACCTGTATGATATTTTCAAGTCTTTTGGGGGAGAAGGGGAAGAAAGATCCGGACATGCTTGCTAACAGAGGAGGAGTTAACATGTCTAATGCCTCAAGGAGTCTGCACGCCTGAGGCCAAACCAGAGATACAAGTTGCATCCTGTGGTGCAGCAATGCTGTTTAAACAAAGGTGTTGGAGGACAGGACCTGGCAACCCATACTGCTGCCTGGGAGGCATGGCTAGGTTCTTGCTTGACCAAAAAATCCTCTAGGTGCTTGGAGCAGCTGGAAAGGTATTGGAGCAGGGAGTGTGCTGAGAGCCGTGATCCTCGCTCTGATTGTGCAGGCTGGGATGCTGCGGTGGGGAGGAGCAAGGGAGAAGGTGTTTTCCTTAGCGCTTGGGATGTACCAGTCTTTGAAAAGAAGCCAAGGGTGATTTGGAAAGGGAAACCTGCAGCGTAGAGCTTGTTGCAATCTTATGTCAGCAGCTGTGTGCTCTTGAAACTGATAGACTGCAGCCCTGTACAGTCTGGAAAGAAAACATCAGAAAATGAAGCGAGAAGATGGCTGCGCTGGGAAGCATGTTTTCAGAGATTGCCTTTGGGAATGGACTGGTTCAAGTCCTATAAGGTTCAGGGTCTGATTCTTGCAACTTTCAAGTCTCACAGGCTTGTTTGGTTTGGTTTGGGGAGGGGGGCAACTTGCTTATTTTCTTCAGGAATAACAAAAAATTTCCAAGAGGATGCTCCAATAGATGCAGCCTGGTGCATGCATCCCACATGAGAAGCAACACTGGTTTTACAGCTCTACTTTTCAACCAGAACTGCTGACCCAGGGCCTGCGAAAGCTT